CATTACATTCAACAACTCACAAGGAACTAAAGAAAAACTAGGGCTATATATACACACACGGGGCTAACAAGCTTAACAAGATAAGACACACCTGGGGAAACTAATCAAGGGTAACCAATGAACAAACAGACTACAAACACCACGGAAGACAGGAAGTGACAAAAAAAAGTCCAAGACAAGGCACAGAGAACATGTAACTAAAACAAGAAAGAGTTGACTTGAAGAAAGCAATCTTTTATTTTCTAAAACTAAAATAAAACTGAGTACCTCAAAATTGCAAAAAAAAAACAAAAACAACAACATCCTTCAAAAAGGCCTCTTCAGTATAGCGGATAGATAAGATAATGTTAAGTAAAATTAAAATTAAAAAGTCAAAGCTTGGATGTGCTGGATTCGGCCTCATTGCCAGCTGCAGTCATGTCTTCTCATATATAAAACACCTGTGATTCACAAGTACTTGCTAAGGAACTCACGTTCACGTAATGTAGTCTTGTTGACAAGTTTGGGTGAGTAAGGGCAAAACGCACAAGATATTGTATTTTTGGTGCCCTGTAGTAGTAGGCAGTACCATGTCTTTTGTAGCAGAAATAAACTGCTGCAGAAAAAGCTAGGCGCCATTCAAAATGTAATGTGTAAAGCCCCGTTCACACCAAGAACGATAACTATAAAGATAACTATAAAGATAATGATATTAGCGTCCACACCAGCGAACGATATCATCCGTTTATTCTAAGCGCACATGCGTCTGCCGCTTTAAATTCTTGAGCTCGTTACAGCAGGATGGATTCTGATTGGCTGTCGATTTTTTTATCGTTCATCAGCTGGAGAAAAATCGTTTTGAAAGTGATTCCAACGATATCGTTTCTCTTTGTCTTTATCGTTATAGTTGTGGTGTGGACTCTGCTATTCTTTAATATTGAGAACGATTTTTAGAACTATATCTTTATCGTTATCTTTATAGTTATCGTCCTTGGTGTGAACGAGCCTTAACTACAACACTTATTACAAATGTAGTGGAGTAAAGAGTAGATACTTATTCAAAACTGTAGTGAAGTAGAGAGTAAAAGTTGCTAATCTTTGATACTCAGTAAAATTACAAAGTATCCGAAAATATACTCAAGTACAGTAATTAGTTAAATTTACTTGTATTATTAGTTACTTTACTTTATTACTTTATTAGTTATATATACACTTTACACCTCTGACAAAGGGGAAGGATATTAAGCGAGAACAGGTTCTCATTTTTGTGATATTTGCAGTATTTAGATGTAAATGGTCATGTACGAGTAGTATAGCATTATTCTCTGCTCTATAGTGTACTTATGTGTTCTGTGTTTGTGTTCTGTGTTGTCTTATGTGTTAAAATTCACTACTGCAGTAAACTGGAGGCCATTCCAGCCTCATATTTGAAAATTCAAGCTCATGTTTAAATAAAAATCTCATTTTCCAGTTTGTAGCGATGCAACTCCAGTTAAAATGATAAGATCATTCTGCCAAATGGTGTACTGTCTTTTCATAATTTAGTTTGATTTTAACAGCACATTTCTGTACAGAATGTTTTATGAATCTGTTACAATGCAAAGCAGCTTTGGCAAATGAAAGATTGTGCAACACACGCACAATGAACCCTCAACCGGTTAAGCAAACAGTGTTACTCGATTCACAAGTGAAGAGGTTACCAATTCATAAAAGAGGTCATTATAGCTAGAGAAAGCATTGAAATGCACCATAGAAAACAGTCTGTTTAATTTCGGTTGGAAAATGTAATAACTAAATTATGACTGTTTTGAAGCAATCAACCTCGACTGACATAAGAAAAAGAAAGTGTTGAATATGTGCCCTTTAAGAGACATTGTAAAAAATTTAGTAAACTCAAGAGTGAAGACACAGTTGAGTCCTTGTAGAGCGCATTACTAAACGAAACAACCACTTTCCAGTAAAAGCAGCTATTCATCCTTAAACAAGATAAGTTGCAAAAGATACGCTTAATTTAAAGGGAAAACAAGTTTATTTTTACCATCTTTTTTGGAGGTTGGTCTGCAGAGAGATGCTGCAGTCCTTTGATTATGACAGTAAAATATCACTGTGAGCAAAGGGCAAACACTTCACAAGATTCAAATATCAAGGGTGAAAGATTTTAAAAATTTCAATGTAACTTACCACTCGAGTTCTGGGAATTGTTGATGTCGGCACGACTGGACTGGCCTGACTGGTTAGACATTTTCCCTTCCATTTTAGGGCCATAATTTCCCTCTGCAAAGGCAAAAATCAAAGAAGCTTAAATAATACATATCAAAGATAAGAACAAACTTAAATGCTCGTTTCATCCTTCTTAGCGCATCACTCAAAATAAAACAGGTATTTTCCATGAATAGAGATGAAATGGGTTTTTAAAGCAATTTCTCCTTGATTTATGGGAATTGTAAGCTGATCAATAACTTTTTTGGCAAGCAACATATGTAATACATTATATGAAATCTTGTGATATTTGTTTTGCCAGTGCTTGTTTTGTGGAAGGCTCCTAAGAATGTAAATATGTGAAGAGTTGTCAGGTCATCGTTTTTCTTCACATCTAGAGTGTTAAGTCACACGGCATTTACTCCTCGGGTGAATGGCTCTGACAAACAAAGAAAAAGTTCAATGTCCAGAACAAAGTGCCCATAAACAAATATGTCAGCACACCAGACAAGCAAAAGCCATTGGGATGAACGGGAATGCTAACAGAGAGCTTTCTCCGTGGACAGGATATATAAATCTTTGCACAGATTTCATTCTATAAGTATGCATTAGCTCAATGAGCTTGTGCAAAATTCCCTTATAAATTCCAATCCGCAAAAGACCTTTAAACTTTATTCTTTAACATTACAGACACAATAAACCCACTTTAAAAAGTAAAAGTACCGCTGTTAAGTTATCAAAATAAATAAGTAAATTAATAAATAAATAGACTGAGAAGCAAAACTGTATAAGATACTAGAGGTCGACCGATTCATCGGTTTTGGCAATTAATCGCCACCGATAGTTGCTCGCCGGAACTATCGGTTATTGGCAAAAATCCATGCCGATAGTTTTCCGGTTTGCGTCCGTTGCTGGAGTGGCAGAGAAGCTGGCATTATACACGAGAGCTGCCTCTAGAGGCGGAAATCACTGACAGCACATGTTGTTTATTTTGACATGTGACACTGCACGCTGCACAGAGAGGGAAACTCCAGGCGCGCATTTAAATACAGCCGAAAGAAAATTCTAAAGAAAATCCTGCAGCGGAAAGAGCGCCATTCACATAGTTTTCTATTAAATTACATTATATTTGTTCCAAATTGTTGTGAATGTACATAATGACTTCACCCTAGGCTATAAATTATGTATTGTGCATTTTCAGCAAAACGTTTGTCTTTCTGTGGCTTTAATAAAATCTGTATGCTTCATATAGAGACCTGTAAAAGATCGCACTCTCTCTTTCCGCTTGCTTTGTTTGTTTTTAAACACCGAACTTCAAACTCATTTATGCCACATTGTTCATTCTTGAAGCAAACTTAAGTCTGTTTGGTGATTAAATAAACTGTTTTAGACCGCGACTTGAACTGAATGTGACGCGTCTGGAGTGTGTGTGTGATACCTGTGAGTTCTCCTAGACACAGCGCTGCGCTTTTGACCGGTGTGTGACTAATGTTTTTTTTTTATTTTTTTTATTAGATAATCATCAAGTGTTCTACAATAGAAGCAAATAAAGTGTGAGTACACATACAATATCCATATGTATGTAATTTCAATGCAATGGCATTGCGTATATATTTAAAGATGGCTATCTTTAAGCATGACTGTTGAAATTAAATGGTAATACTTAACAATACGAGTCCATTTGTAGCATTAATAAAAACTGTGGAAGTATTGTTCCTTGTTATTTGTGTAGTGTGTTCATTTCAACATTCACTATTACTAATAGGCTACATTTTTTAATTTTAAAGGAGACATATTATGCGCCTTTTCACAATATGTAATATAAGTCTTTGGTGTCCCCAGAATGTGTCTGTGAAGTTTCAGCTCAAAATACTCCACAGATCATTTATGATATCATTTTGAAAATGCCTATTTTGAGTTGAAGCAGAAACGCGCTGTTTTTCGGGCCTGTCTCTTTAAATGCAAATGAGCTGCTGCTCCCTGCCCCCCTTTCCAGAATAGAGCTGCACCATTACAGCTCGGACCTGCTAAAAACATATGTTTTGGTTCTGATTATCATGTTTATCGCGCTGAAATAATGAGTTTTAAACCATATGAGTTTAAACTTCTGATATATACGGTTTTATGAGCGCACACAACCGAAGCATACGGACAGAAAGCGGTCACCAGACAGCATGTGAGTTCTAAACTAAGACTTTCGCCATGGCATTACAACCGTTGTCGCTTGCGAAATCAAAATGATGGCGCCGTGGGAAACTCACAGATTAAGGGGCGGTGATATTATAATGAGATCCCTTTGCCACGTCACCAAGGGAGCGAAATCAGACACGCTCGTTTTTTTCAGACGCTTGCAGAAAAAGGCTTACCAAAACAAAGTTACTGGGTTAATCTTTTTCACGTTTCCTTGGTTGGTAGATGCACTGGGGACCTGATTATAGCACTTAAAACCTGGAAAAGTCAGATTTTCATGATATGTCACCTTTAAAGTTTCTTTTATTATTAGCAAACTATGAAATAACTTGAATGATCAATATAATAAATAATATTAATATTTTTATTATTTTACAAATTATGTTTCAGTACTGTTACTGCTTTAAAAAAAATAGTAAAGCACTATTTTAGTTTTCTTTCAGTATCTATTTGAAAAACTATCGGTTGATTAATCGGTATCGGTCAGTGTGGTCCAACCTAGCTATCGTATCGGTAAAATCCACTATCGGTCGACCTCTATAAGATACTGAGTCTTATTTTCAGCAAACTGTATTATTCTCTCCATTTTGGCAAGTTAATGATAATGTTAATGATAAGGTAATGTTAATAAAGATAATTGAGAATTATTTAGATACTTATTATTAAAAAAAGTGAAAAATACCCATATTGCTACATTCCTGGCAATGACTATGCCAATAGTAGAGATTTAACAAAGTCTAAAATGTCTCTAAAGCAAATGATTAATCACCCAACATGTCTCATTGACAATTAATCATAGGCATCCACAATTAATCATTAAAAAGCATGCTTTATTACCAATTAACAATCTCACATCTCCCTGCAAAACCACGACTCTCTAAAAATTTTACAGCTCATTTAGAATAATCAGTCATTTTGCAACAAATTTAAATTTAATTCTGGTAGCATCGCTACAGTCTCTCTGACCCAATTCTATATTTTCACCATACTTTAAATAGCTTTCAATGTCAAACTCCTCTGCATATCCTCAATGCAGGACTAAGAGATAAATGAGAGGAGAGATGAAGGACGAAGATAATAAGAAAGACTTTTCAGCGAACACCTCAGCAGAGCGCAATAACAATTTGAGATCCTGTACGGTTTATTGCAGACAGATTGGGTAGTTTTACAACAGAAATTATGATCTTAGTAGTTTTGTGAACAAGCTTCCACCATCTCCATATTTAATGATTAGAGTTTCCTTTACTGTTAGTGTCTAATCTATAACTTCTACACACCTCTATTTATATATTAGCAGAAAACTGCCATGAACAACACAACACACAGGTAATGAAGTGAGGACTTACTCATTGGAGCGTGAAGAGCCACATGTTCCTGATAGGGGTTGAAGTATTTGTACTGTTTTCCACAATACTCACACGTGTAACTTCCCGTTTCTACAGAACACAAAATACAGTAATTAACCAACACAGTTATTAGTCAAAAACACATTAGCGCTGATAAATGCAATGCTTCAGAGATTCATTATTCCACTTGAACCATGATGATTTATCAGTACCAGATTTCAGTTGCTTAAAGCGACAGTACACCCAAAAATGAAACATTCTGTCTTTATGACTCACTCATGTTGTTCCAAACATGCATGACATGTTTGTCCAATTCAAATCTAAATCCAATTGGAAGAGGGAAAATCTCTTTATAGAAATGTATTCAGGTTTTTAATGACATGACAATCGTTATATTTTGGTGAACTATTAATTAAAGCCAGTGGTTCTCAACCAAGGGGTCATGATTCAAAGAAAGACAAAATAAGCATTCAAATAAGCAAAACCTATCAATATATTTCTTTTTAAATTCAACCCTCAGCAATATTTTATTTTCATTTGAATAACCAGGGTTCCCGCTTTCTTGGAAAGACATGGATATATATAAAGTAGCCTAATTTTTAAAGTGCGATTTTTAGACCTGGAAAAATTGTGATATAAAGAAATAAAATCTTAAAATTCAAAAATGAATTTTTGTGGTTCTGTTATTTTTTAATTTTTTTTGGCCAGAAATACAAGGATTTTAATAAAAATGTATAGTTTCCACATCAAAAATATTTTCAGGCGTGTGGTTCTGCATATGAAATGAAGGGACAATATTAATTGTTAACCAGTTGATCACAGAATGAACTTCTGTCCAGAATGGCTGAATGTGATCACAAAATAAATTTAAAAAATGTGCCCTTGAATGTCTTACATTTAAAACAAAGATCTGAGCAGCTAGAGAACATTTTAAGAAGGTGACCAGGTGTAAAACAGATCCTATGAAAAAAGAAAAAAGAAATAAAATTTTGTTCATGTAGAGAAATTGATGTACACCTTGGAAAAAATCCATTACAAATCTCAGTCCAATGGTGCCGGACTGAATGATACCCCTAAATCCTGTTCCCACAATTGTTTCAGAGAATCATATGCTGAATTGTCAGAGTGGAGCAATAGAGCATAACACTTTGAAATAATCCCTTTAAGAGAATTGGCAGTAATTTCCCTCCAAGACTGTTTCCAAATCTGATCAGTTTAAACAGAGTTTGTCCTGCCTTAAAAGAGATTCTGTAAAATGCCAAATTTAAAGATATTTGGAAAAAAAACTAATAAAAAAAATCAGAGGAAATGTTATACTCTACTTCAAGTTGTTCAAACAACTTTAACAAGATAAACCCTTAAAGGCAGGGTATGTGATTTTTCAAAAACACTTTAGAAAACTGATTCGGGCCGAATAGCAAAACAAACTTGTAGCCAATCAGCAATAATGGGTGTGTCTACTCGTGATGTGGAGGAGAGAGCTTTCAGTGCATGGGACGGACATTAGCCGAGCCGAGCGACAGAAAGATAGAGATGGCGGATAAAAAACAAAAGAGGAAAACGTCTGCGGAACGATAAGGCAAGAAGTAGGACCCGTGTAAATATCGGATCAGCTTTCCAGCGCTGGAGAGAACTCAAGGAGCGGAGGCCTGCGATCGGACGCCGAGGTTGCTTTGTTTCTTCTCAATAGGTGAGTAACACCGTGTGTCTACAACAGCTAAAGTCTGCCTACACTGGACGCGATCAAACGACTGTTGAAAACCATTTGAAATTTGTGTCAGCATGTCATAAATAGAACCCGTGGAGCGTTTTCTGTCGGGGATTTGTTGCGCCGCACCGCTCACGTCCATAGACACGGTGTAACATTGGTTTTGCTTTGTTTCACAGAACTAATCGTTGCCTGGGTTGCGTACGTATATGTGGGGCGGAGTTATCAAAATAGGGGCAAGACCCTTTTGGGGTAGGGGCGTGTTTGTTTTGGTGATTTCAAATATCAACATTGGCTACCAGAAATCTCTTACTCAGCCTTTAAAGTTCCATTCCAACAGGCCAAAACTCCTAATCTGAACTGGAAAATAAGTGTTCAAATCCAAGGGTGACAGAGATAACTGGAGCAATATTTAAAAAAAAAATGTTTCCCAAAGCCAGTAATGTAGCATAAATTATTACATTATCAATAAGGGAATTTATCTGGTCTACACTGTTGATAAATGGGAAGGACTCGAGTCTTCTGGGGTAACAAGATAAAGATTCAAGATCAATCCATATAGAATCATGCCTGTTCATGAACCAATTCATCATCATTTTGAGTTGAGCAGATCAGTAATAGAATTGTAAGTTAGGTGAGGAAAGACCTCCCAAAGCTTTTGGTTTACAAAGTTTACAGAGTCTAACTCTCTGTTGCTTATTATTCCAAATACAGCAGTATATGTGAGACTTCAGTGATTTAAAAAAGGCTGGGGTTAAATAACATGGAAGATACTGGAACCAATAATTTAATCGAGGAACAATATTCATTTTAATAACATTGACTCTCCCAAGAAGAGCAGTTGTCAAGGAGGTTCACTATTTCAAATCTTTCTTATTTTTTGTTATTTAGAGGGGAATTATTGGTCTCAAAAAAAGTTATTCAAATCAGATAAAAATAATAAAAAATACCTAAATATTTAAGACCTCTCTCTGAAACCTGTAAAGGGGATTGTATAGCCAGATTATAGGGAATATTAAAAGGCCAAGAGACAGATTTTCCTAAATTAATTTTATAGCCGTTCACATTGACACTGGTTACTGAATCTGTGTGAAGATATTTAATCACACAAGTAAAATTGGAACCAACCCCAAATTTTTCTAATACTGGATGCCGAAAAGTCTTTCATCGTGCGATCTTTTTTTTTTTTTTCTCTCAAAGACAAAATCATTGCTGGGCTTTAGGAATATTAAAGTAATGTATGGCATTGAGAATACAGCGTACATTATCTGTGCCATTTCTAGACTTCACAAAACCTGCCTGATCTAAATGTATAATTTTAAGAAATACCGTTTCAAGCCTGCGGGCCAAAACCTTTGCAACTATCTTGTAGTCCACATTAAGAAGACTAATGGGCCTGTAAGATTAACAATCCAAAGGATTTTTATCTTTTTTTAAAGCAGACTAATAGAAGCATATCTTCAGGAAGGTGGAATTTCACCTTTCCAAATATTATTAATAGCGGGCATAAGAATTTGACAGATTTTCGGCCAGAACTTCTTAAATTCCAGTGGAAAACCATCTGGGCCCAAGACACTTCCAGTTCAGCACAGCCTTGCATTCACTAACACTTTTAAATTTAGTACTGTGGGAGACTGCTTATGGATTTGCTCTAGCCTAGTAACTTTCTCAAGCTGTCTTTAGGTGGGAAGTGTAAGAAATAAGATGACCATGCAACGTGGCTTTGGCAACATTCCTTATCATAGCTGAAGACACTGGAGAGTCTCTGTTATTAAGCCAAAATTGTGACAAACTATCCAGAACAAAAAGGGTCACTATTTAGAAGACATATATTTAATCTCTAATTCGAAGTTCTGGGGATGCTAAAAGATGGATCTATATGCAAATGCACTGGTGCATGACCTGATAGAGTCAATATGACAGGAGTGAACTGCATGTAGAAACTGTCTAAGGATAAGAAAAAAATTGTCAATCCTAGAATATGAATTATGAGGGTGTGAACAGAAAGTATAGTCTCTCACTTTGGGATTCAGCTGGCACCATATGTCAATCAAGCCAAAGTCTATGCAAAAATTATTAAGAACACTGGACGACCGGGGGTTCTATGCATTTGTAGAAAAGGATTTGTCCAAAGAAGCATTCAATATGCAATGAAAGTCACCAGCAAGAAAACCCAATCCTTTACAATGATAGTTAAACAATAAAATCATCCATGGTATAAAATTAGGTAAATCATAATTTGGCGCATACACATTGAGGATAGTTATATAATGTTTAAGAACTGAGCCTGCGATCACAATAAATCTCCCCTCAGGATCTGATTCCGAATATTCCAGAATAAAAGGGAATAAAATGGCAGTACCTCTTCTATTCTGTGAATAGGTGGTGAGGTAAATTTGACCTACCCAATCTCTCCTAAGCTTTGAGTGTTCAGCATCAGATAATTTAGTTTCCTGAAGCAGTGCCATGTCAGGTTTTTGTTTTTTCAAGCATGTTATTTTTATTTTATTTTTTTCCTTTTCATTACATGGCCGATCCCTTTGACATTCCAAGTAATAAGTTTAAGTGATCCAAACATGAAGTTAATCCACTGGGGGAAAAAAAAAAGTTTGTCTTGGTAATCTTTAATCAAAATCTGATCATTTGCTTCTGCTATTGAATGCCACTCCTTCTCTGATGACATCAGTTTGACGGTTTGGGCAGAATATTTTTAACCACGCCCTCCAACCATTAGTTTGCTGCGAGTGAGAGATGAGAAGAGCGCAAAAAAAAAAAAAAAAACCCCGCCCTCTATTAAATATTCCATTTCAGTTGGAAATACGTCACCATACTAAAATAATGTTGGCAGCAACTTCCGGTTCATGCAGACTTCAAGAATGTAAAGAAAAATATTTTTTTGAGCTGTGTTTGAAAATCTCAAATAAATTAAAAATAAATAAATAAAAGATGAAAAATAAATAGTGAACAAAATATATTAATAATACAATAAAGTCACTGCATATACATTAGAAAAAAAACAACTCAGTTAGACAGTCTTTCAGCACAACAGCAAATAATAAATAATAGGGACTCAGTATACGGTCAACAGACGAATCAAGACTAGAGGTCGACAATTTTTGGCATTTTTTAATTAATCGGCATCGGCCGATTGTGCTGCAAATTATGCCGATTTATAGGCAGGCGCATCTGCGGGCCGCTAAGCGTTGTTGCCTAACTCCC